AATTGTTGGCACTATATAAATACCTGTAATAACGAAATGTAGCATTTTTCGTCAGTGCCCAGCAACATAGATTAGCAACATAGATTGCACTGAGCTACAACACATGTCCCGCAACAAGGTGCATTGTGGTGCCGCAATAATGTGAATGGGCCTCTAAAGGGAAATTACACCTTTTAGAAAAAAAATTCACACTTTATTAAAGAAAAATGTGCATTTGTTGTTTTTGTTGCATTGGAGCAAGTAAAGCATTGCAACCGTGATCAGTGGATTGTGGGTGCAATGCTCTGGGTCCCTTCCGTCCCTGTCCATACCACGGTATGGACATTCAGTAACGCAGACGGTAGTAAGAATGAATGGACTACAAGTGTGATGATGTCACCGCACTTGTATTCCATTGAGAGCTATGAGTCCCTCTGCCATGGTGGCTGATGGGAAATATAGTTTCTCCATTCACAGATCCTGTCAAAGGATCTGTGGATAAATGATGCGGCTGTGTGGGCAGAGCCAGAAACAAAATGTCACCAGCACAATACGTGCAAGATTCATCTTTATTGATGAGTGGACATTATGTCACAAGGTAGCAACATTTCGGGCTGCTTAGAGTCCCCTCATCAGGCTTAATATGATGTACTGTATATGTGAATGAATATGTGTGGGCAGAGCCACAATGAATTCAATTAATTCAGTCCCACTTCAAGGGTTAGGTTTTTTATTCTCCCCATAGTTCTTCTTTGATGCATTGTATCTGGTGCATCATTACCAGCTCCATGTTTTAGCCGCCTTGATGCCAGCAAGTTTCCTCATTTTCAGAAAATTGTGGCAAAAAATAATCTCAACTTGGAGTGTCTGCTTTCCAAAAACGGGCATTTCGGGGGGCTGCTTGCAATATTTTGGCATTTTTATTGCCTATGCTTTATAACAGAAAGTATGTTTTGTTTTTATTACTTTAGATAATAAAACATAAAATAAAAACTTGGGTACAGTGTTGCATGAATGAGTGATTACCGGTCAAACTATCACAGCACTGAAAACTAAAAAATGGTAATGAAGGGGTAATACAGGCTGGTACTCAGGTGGTTAAAGAAGGGCATCTGTGCAGGAATGAGGAAGATATTGGGAAGTGGAACTATTGGTAGCTTAGCAATGTACGTCACAGATGGCCTGGCAGTATCACAGCATCCCTTAGGAAGAGCTTCCTCCTTAGTATAGGTGGAAGGAAGACAGGGTTGGCTATTCACTGACGTAGACTGAAAGTTATGATATTGATCATGACATTTACTACACCCGTATTATAACGCCAGCTCATGGCACCAGCTGTGCGCAGTAAACCATTTCAGGATGCCATCCTCTGATATATCCTGGGCAAACATGACATATGTAAATGAAACTGACCTGAAGCAACTTTTCCCTCTTAACATATGTTGTCAACCAGTAAAATACACACGTATGTACATAATAATTCAATGTGTGATTCATCGGTGTATATGACCCAGTGTATTTGACCTATATTTTAAAATGGCCTTCTTAGCAAGTGTCACTTATACGATTTGATGGCCATGACAGAACTCAAAAGCGTTCTTCCACTCTTTGCATTGAAGAGTTTTTTTCTGCATGGATGACGGTTTGATTGTTTCTTCCGACTATCACATATTAATACAGGGAAGCCCAACACATAGACACCTGTCATCCATGTTAGCAATTCATGATGAACTCCAGTAAGATATAATATACAAACTATTCATTAATCCAGTTCTGTATTTTAAAAAGCCTTTATGTATATTACATACAGGTGCTGTAAGTACCTGAATTGCCTTTTATTTAACCTACTGTGATCCTATGGATAGCAAGACCCAGACTGAGAGAATTAGGAAATCATTAGGAGATAATAAAAAACTCCTACATTGCACAGTCAGTTTAACACTGGGTTAACACTGGGAGATTGCTGACAGAAGGAGAGGAATGATGACCTTATCAGCATGGTGATTCTCTATTAATGCCCAATCAGGAGTCTGGGGATGGGTCAGTGACCAAGCTATATTGCTTAACTGGAAAAGAAAGAAGGGAAGTCACTGACCTGGTTATAGAAAGTGTCACGGAGCATGATTTTGTATTGTTTGTGAAGAGTTGTTGAGACCATTGCAGTGTCTTGGAGAAGCTTTTTCTATCTATGGTTTCCCAGATAGCAAGCAATTGAGCTGCAAGTTTGAAAATGACTTGCTAAACTATTGCTAGACTTGCCAAGCTTCACAATGTTGTTGCACAATCACAGCAAGTCTGCATTGTAAGTCTCCAGATCAATGTGCTTTGCAATTGTGCTGTACACTTGCAGAGCTCTTGCTAAGACCTGCAGGACTCTTGCTGTAGACTTGCCAAGCAAATTTGCTACAAATTCAAAAAGTGTCAATTAGAACTTGTGCTGCAAGTGTTCTGCAAGTCTACAACTTGCCAGGAATGTGTGCAAGTTAAAAAGAATTACAATTTAACCGTGCCACACGTTTGTGGCAAGTTACCCTTGCTATCTGGGTTGTTACCTGGCTGGGAAATGGGTGGATGTGTGTGGCTCTTCCTGTGGAATGTAAATGATTAAAACTCATATATATATCAATATATATTGTGTATATTTTTCTGCATGTTAAAGGAATGGTAAAGTCCTTTTATATCTATCTATATATATATATATCTATAGATATCGATATCTATATCTATAGATATCGATATTTATAGATATCGATATCTATAAATATCGATATCTATAGATATAGATATATATATGTGTGTATGTATATGTATATATATATATAGATGTATATCGATCTATATATATAGATATATATACCCTCCTGTTATAACATCAGCATTGTAATAGGAAAAAAATCCCTTTTATGTAGTGAGTGCTGCCTTCCGTCTGCCCATCACTTTCAACAACTTCCTGGATCTCCAGTGTTCTTTGTGTCTCTTTCCCTGCTGATTGATGAGATGCAGTCTTGATTTCTCAAGACTACATATCCCACTATGCATTGCTTCCAGCAAGCAATGATAATGTTACATTGTTCAGACATTAAGTTGTAGTTCAGAAGGCAGACTCTGAGAGTTGTGGCACAAGTTATGAGTGAAATTAAGTCAGTACATTGAGGAAGTACATCCTATGGGCATCTTCAATAAGTTTACAAACTTCTAGAACGATAGGTTTATCAGGGCTGGTATAGAACTTATGGAAATGTAATATAGAAAATCATATTTATATTTAGTTTTTGAGCATCGATACCCTTTCTTTGCACCTATAAAAAGCTATCCAACGTATGGGAAGTACGATCTTTTCAGGGACCAGAAAATTGTTACTATTCCACCAATATTGAAGAGATATCCAGAATGTGGTTAAAGGATCATTGCAAAGCCACGCCATCCTGAAAAATTAGCATAATGTGAACAAGCTAATAACATTTACAGCTGTGTATGAAGGAGTTATACCCTGTTTCCCCGAAAATAAGACCTACCCCGAAAATAAGACCTAGTGCTATTTTTGGGAATTGTTAAAATATAAGACCTACCCCGAAAATAAGACCTAGTTGTGACCATTCCCAGGGCCAGTGGTGGCACAAGGGGGAACTTGAAGAGGCGGGAGAGAATCAGCGGTGCCAACAAAGCCAGCGCTAGAGGAAGCGAGGCAGCACCGGAGGGAGCAGAGCAACATAAGCCGATGCCTCCTCTATAGAGCTGGCTCCTGTCACAGGCGGAGTGATACCAAATGCACTCCGCCTGTGAGAATTCGATAGTGAAATTGCGCTTCGCTCATCCTGGCAAGCGATTGGTTAGCAAATTGCTCTTGGAAAGGTACGGCACACCTGATTGCCCTGATCACCATATTGTTGGACATGAATAAATGTGGATTGTTGTACATAAAAAAAATAAAAAATAAGACCTACCCTGAAAATAAGACCTAGTGTGTTTTTTTGAGCCCCAAAAAATATAAGACAGTGTCTTATTTTCGGGGAAACACGGTATTACAGACTATCAAATACTGCAGATCTATGGAAGCTACAGGAAGCCACAGAAAGACAGTTGGTAGGTTTTTTTTTTCCATGGGACAACTGTGCAGGAAGTTTTCTCCGTGTTGGGTTCAGTATCTTGTGTTTTATTTCCTGAAACTCGCATATATAGCCATCTATGTTATTATAACCCGTAACACAATGGAGTCTATCAAAATATGTCAATTAATTATAGTGGACTCTTAAATAAAACTTGTGGAGAGAGAAATATGCCGACCTCTCTTTGTGAAAATTTTATTTTTCAGGCTGGTCTAATGGCTTTAAAGAAGAACTCCTGGGTAACATTTTTATTAACCCTTGCAGTGGGGCTATCCTCGCACAGGTTAAGTGCTTGTTTTGGTCTAAGGCGGAAAATAACAAAATGATACTCACCTGATCCTCCAAGCTGGCCGGCTGTTACAGCGCTTTGTCCAGCCTGCTCCAGCAATGGAATGTCCGTCAGCGTCTTCACGTCCTATACACTGTGTATAGAATGTGATGACTCAGGGACCTTAGACCGCTGCAGCAAAGAGGGAGAGACACTTCAAGGACCGATCTACGAGCAAGCCGGCTCAGAGGTACAGGTGAGAGTAACTTTTTTCTATTTTCCTCCCTAGACCAAAATAAGCACCTAACTCTTGCAGAGTGGGGGATACCCCCACTGCAAGGGTTAATAACACTTTTGCCAGAAGTTCTTCTATAATTCCTTTTTATTTAGGCATACCTCCCAACTTTCTAATATGAGAAAAAGGGACACCTTTGGTTCCAAAAGAGGGACACTTGGGTTGTATGTGTGTAGGGGTGAATGGAGTGATATTTGCAAAATTGACTTGCTGCCAAATGTCACTGAAGCGGAAACTCCCCGTTTTCCTCTTTTTGAGGTGCTTTGGGGACATTTGCTAGATATAAAATACAGGATTAGGATCACCAGTTCTTTAAAATTAACTTTTTTTTTTTTCATTCCTATTATCACAGAAGAAAAACAGCCAGATTCTCGCAGAACGTACACACTGGATGATTATTTTGGCGATCGGCTTAGGACTAGATCATACAGCCTGAGGTGGATTTCAGGTAATGTAGTCACCTGTGCACACACAACGAAATATATACAGTTAAAAAAAGTATCGCATAGGAAATATTTGATCTTTTACTTTACAATTTACACCCATTTAGAAGAACAGAGGCTGCCTCTGCTAAGACTTTTCTATTTAACTGGATTTACATTGTGAAAGCATTACAAATGTAAAGTGTGTAGTTGAAACTTTTTTTTTTTATTAGTTTGTTGTTTGTTGTCTGTGTGCTGGTTGGTTGGATTTTCCTTCACTTCCTGCCCTGAAAATTAAAACAGGATGTGAAAGGAAGTCTCTACAAAGGGTGGTGGGGGGATTCCCCTCTTAGGGCTCATGTACATGGATGGTCATACAGAGTAAAATACACCTGTATTGTGATGCCCCAGTTGCTGCATTTTTCTTTACATAGGCTTGTATGGCCGAAATACAATGTACACGGGTATACACCGAGTACCAGCATTTACACGCATATGGGTATAAGTTCCTGTGAAACTTGAAAAGTGAAAATTCCACATTCTGAAACCTACGCTCATGTGTGTGTAAATGCTCGATACTGCATACACACACGTATACCTGTGTATAGTGTACTCTGTCCATACAATCCTATGGGCAGAAAACGCAGTGTCTGGGAGCTTTTTGCACTATATGCCCATCTGTGCATGCCCCAAAACCCCCCAGGGGCGTCCCGAGGCAGGGTGTCACCTGGAGCGGGTACCGGGCGATGTCATCACACATGCTTGCGTGATGATGTCATGGCGCACTTGCGTGATGTCATGGCGCACTTGCGTGATTACATTTTGGTGCACATGCGTGATGACGCATGTGCACCATGCGTCATCACGCAGGGGGGGGTGACCCGCACCTGGGTGACACCATTGGAGGGGTGGCACCAAAATGACTGATTTTTTTATTGTCATTTTTGTGTCATCCCCTCTGAAAAGTCAGACACTCTGTCATGGGCCGAGAGCCAAACAGTTGCACAAGAGAGAGGTGGAGACCCGGCGGTATACCTTATGCAGCCGGGTGAACGTCCCCTCCATCACCAAGATGGCTGGCAGGTAACAACGCGTGATGTCATGACGCATGTGCGTCATGTAACTGTTGTATATACAAACCTCTTGCAGTATTTCCTCATACAGAATTATATCTGCGACACAACACTTAGACGTGCGATACCGCTCACTCTGAAGTGGAAGAGGTCTTTTTTACCTCCACTGTTTCTTATCACCGATATGGCAGTATGTACTAATAAATGCATCACAGCCATAGCTCAAAAATGTAAAAATGTCGCACTACAACATGAGTTTGTCGCACGTGTTGGAAATAACACTGAAAGAACACTGTTGAACGGCTTTCATGAATTTGGTGCAGGACTTTCTAATATGGCCATAACACCAGGGTATGGCAAATATGGCACCTGCCCTAGTCTTCACTTGAAGGGGGGCACCACTCCATTTTGTCTCCAACATGCAACAAGTATACACTGCCAGAGGACCACTCTGACAGTCATGCAACTAGCAATTTTAAAAGTAGAGGTGAGCAATGGCAGTCTTCACTTTTCTCTTGTGAAATGTTTTCTATAATATACTGATTTGTAAAGGTTCCCTCTAGTGCAGGTGTAGGCAAACGTTGGCAGTGGTGAAATATATAAATCCCATCATGCTGCTGTCTCTGGGAGTCATGTATGTGGCTGTCAGAGTCATGCAATGCCTCATGGGATTTGTAGTTTGCACCACAGCTGGAGGCTGTGCACTAATGGTTATCTGTATATTAGTAAATGTGCTTATCGATCTGCAGTAAAAAAGAAAACCTGGGCGGTGAGTTATAAGAAGGCTGCCATTGCTGAACCTCCTAATAAAAATGCTAGTTCCTTGTCTGTCTCATTGATTTTTTAGTCACTGACATACAACAGTAGTTAGCATTTCTGCATTGCAGCACTGGGGTCCCGGTTTTAATCTCAGTCAGGACACGGAGACAGGGAGTTTGCATGCTCTCCCTGTGCTTGTATGGGTTTCCTCCAGGAATTCTGGTTTCCTCCCACACTCCAAAGACATGCTGGAAGGTTAATTGGCTCCTTTTGAAATCAGCCCGATAGGGACCTTAGATTGTGCGCTTCTTGAGGGCAGGGACTGAAGTACAATGTGTAAATTGTTGGTGCTATATAAATACCTGTGATAAATTCTCCAAGTAAAGTAAGAGTGACATTAATTGTTTTGAGGTGCATACTTGCTCAAGGCCAGAGCCTCGGAACATTTTGCGTATAGTATTGAAGTAATTGGAACAGCAGAATTGGGAATGATTAAACATTAACATTCACTGATAAGATCATTCACATTAAACTGGTCACAATCACATATTGCATATTTCTAGAAAAATATTGTGAAAAGGTTTATTATTTTACAGTCGTGAATTTAACATATGTGCTTTGTTCTCCAGATAACGAGTATCTTCACCGCTCAAGGGAAAATAATATACTTATCTTCAATGTTGACACTGGAGGTTCAACTGCGATCATTTCAAACACCACAATAGTATGTATCATCTTCAAAAAGAATTCAGTAATTGCTGAATAAGAATGCATTCATGCAGAGTTATGGCCCGCACAATCATGACTAGAAATAGAAACTTTCAGTAGTAAGCTGACCTTTGACAACACAATATTCAGTAGCATTAGAACTATTCAAGAAAGCAGCCCTTGAGCTACTGTGACTTTGCCTAGGCTTGAGTGATATTATTATAAGGAAGCATCTTCTCAGTCTCCTTTCCCGTAGTGGTCGCACTGCAACATCTTAAAGTGACACTAAACTCAGGAGTTCAATCTTAAAAATGCTTTTAAGTACCCTAACCATTAACAAAAATGTATCTTATTTGTGTATCACTCGACTGTAGATCCTCAAATCATCTCTGAATTGGTGCCGACACTGTCCTTCCTTCTGGAAGGGGTCTACCTTTGTTCCCCATGGTCCCTGTGTATGTTATAAAGTAGCCACCAAGATCACTTCTGTGATAAGATTATAACTTCAAAATAAATTAGCTACCTAAACATGAGATTGTAGTCCATCACAGGAGTGCGCTTGGAGTGGAGGCTACTTCATGACACACACAGGGACCATGAAGAACAAAAGTAGCCTCCCTCCAGAAGGAAGGACAGTTTCCGCACTTTTGTTCCCCATGGTCCCTGTGTGTGTTGTAAAGTAGACACAGCTCCAAGCGCACTCCTGTTATGGACTACAATTTCATGTTTAGTTCACCAATTTGTATTGAAATGTATAGTATATAAAATCTACACTCATCTCTGAATACTTAAATTGTTTTTCCATTTTCACAGCCAAATTGGGATATCGCCTATTTTATATTTGTTACATGTTCCCATGCACATAGCATAAGCTAAAATGATTTTAAAAATGCTTCTTGCCGTTTAAATTGCTTTTACTCAGGTTAGGGTTTCTTGACTTCTTAAGGGTTACATTTCTACTGCTCCTTCTTTGTAATGTTAGGAGGGGTTATGAGCGGTGTGGGGTTTACCTCTGTCTTTACTGTATAATATATAATTTGTAAAGTAGATTTGAACACTGCCTGTCCTAACAAAGGGTTAAAGGATTACAACTCTGGCTTCTCCATATGATATTAATAACGTTAATGAGAGAAACACAATCCTCAAATTCCAGTCCTAAGTCTTTTTATAAGGACAGATCACCGTGAAGATGCTCAGAAAAAAAAACTGGGTTCAGCCATCTTGCTTGCTGCAGCAAAACATCTAAGGCCCCGTTCAACCAGTGCGGTTCGGCCGTCATGACCGATCCCATACATTGCTATGGGGACCGTTCATGTAACCGTGGGGCTCCGCGCGCTCCGAAACCACCTCCCGCCCGAATTGCTCCCTGACCCCTTTTTGCCACGCTGATCAATGCGGTTTCCATACTACTTTCAATGGAACCACGCTGTTCAGCACTGAAACACAATTATAAACACCCAAAAAACAACAACTTTTCATACCTTTTTAGATGTTTTGTTGCAGTCGGCATAATGGCTGAATCCACGTCTTTCTGAGCACCTTCACAGTGACCTGTCCTTTATCGAAAGACTTAGGACTGAAATTTGAGGATTGTGTTTTTCTCACTTTATTAACATACAATGCAGCAGCCAAGGTTGTAATCCTTTAACCCTTTGTTAGGACAGGCAGTGTTCAAATCTACTTTACTAATTATAATGAAATCTCCTGGCACAGTACAGACAGAGGTAAACCCCTCACCCCTCAGAACCCCTCCTAACATTACAATAAAGGCGAAGCAAGTAGACATTTTAACCGTTAAGAAGCCAATAAACCCTAACCCACGTAAAAGTGATTAAAAACTGCAGGAAGCATTATTTATTTATTTTTTAGCTTACGCTATGTGAATGGAAACATGTAACAAATATAAAATAGGTGTTATCCGAATTCGGCTGTGAAAGTGGAAATACACTTTAAATGTTTACTTTAAATATATTTATTTGATGCAAAAAAATAACAATGCCACAGCAATGAATTTTTTTTGTCAATTATACATTTGATGTGATAATTCTTGGTTAACGTTTGTGGCTTTGATGCTATAGAGCAGGGGTAGCCAAACTGCGGGCCTCCAACTGTGGTGAAGCTACAAATACTATCAAGCATTTGCCTCGGTAGGCCTTGCCTGTAGCTGTCAGAGTCTTGCAATGCCTAATGGGACTTGTAGTTTCATCACAGCTGGAGGGCCGCAGTTTGGCTACCTCTGCTATAGAGTCTTAGAATTACAGATGTGTACTGAATTCTTTTCTTTGCCCAGTCTATTGATATATTGCTATTCCTATAACACTCTTTCTTGTCTTGCTAGAACAACAGCAATGCATCTTACTATGACCTGTCCCCAGACAGAGGATATGCACTACTGCAGTACAACTATGAGAAGGTAACACGGTTGTGTAGTTCACTAGTAGTTTCATAAGACATAGGATTGTTTATGATAACCACACAAACCCTGATTATATGAAACACAATGCAAGCAATCAATACGCACCCATACATATATATAT